AAAAACTGCTGCCAGTCTGAACAGACTGTATTCCTTATCCACATCTCAGCTGCTATATTTCAGCTGTTCCCAGTCCAAATTTTTGCCATATTTATATAATCTTTATTGAAGAAAGAAGCATAAGTGATGTAGAAGGAAAAGGTAGACCTTTGCTGACTTCCCGGTCATTACGGAATATAGGGTCATATGCTTCTCCAACTTTCAGTAGAAACAAATGAAAGGAAAAACATTAGAATTTTAATACAAAAGTGCCTTAGGCTGTATGAGAATTATGAAAAAATCCTATATCGCACTGACAGCTAAAGAGAGGAAAAAAGAGCAAACTGGGTCCTTCAAAATATTTGCTTAAATAAAAAGAACAACACTGCATCATTATCCTTCTCTTTTTTATATATCTTTAGTTCAGTCTGTTCTTTGGTTCAGGCTTAAAATATTATTAGTTTAGAAAAAAAAAAGATATATGTTTGGCAGCATTTGTTTAATATGTTGCAAAAAAACTAGTTTCGAAAAATCCTGTTTGGCACTAGTGAGATGATTATTTTGGTAAGCCTATTGCTGCATATACTTACAATTCAGCACTGCTGTTTTGTTTGTTTTTTCTCTGGTGCTTTTAGGTTACCTAGTTTCAGATAAAATCTATTAAGTGGAGTATTTTTCAGTAGCTGAGGTTTTCCCACCTGTCTACCCCAAAACACCTGCAACATATGTTTGTGTAACCCTGCAATGCTTTGTGGTTTGGGCCTGGAGAAATTCCCCCAGAGCTTTTTGCTTATAAACAGCTGAGCAATTCATTTCTCTAATGACGAGTGCTTTTCCCTTGGCATTGAGGCAATAGCATGTTCGCTAAAATAAGTCTCATTTTTCATCAGACATATTGAAAATCTTTTTTTCATTGTTGTCTCTTATTCTGAATGTTCAGATTTTGCACGAAATTGTATTTGATTTTTTTTTCTGTTGATAATACTGAAGAGAGAGGAAAGGAAATACCTCAACAAAGAAGAAAAAAGAGCATTGTAGAAATTCCTCCGCTTGCACCTGCATGTAAACTTTTACAAATAACGTGTATTCAGATGGTGAAACGTTACATTGCAGCAGTAACCTGGTTTTCCCGGTATGTTGTAGAGCAGTCTGCCAGTGACTTCTGTCACGCACAAGCATGCTTTGCCATATCATTTCTGCTCCGTGGGTAATGTGATGCAATGTGTCTCTGGAGGCCAGGGAGGAAAGGGGTTATACTAGGCAATCTGAGCATATCAAGCATGATCCTTTGCTGGTAGGAGTTGCTTTTTAGCCGTTTATGCAAGATTAGGGAGTTTCTGCTGCGTTCTATGTGATTCTGACCACAGCATCAGCCCCCCCGATAGGAAAAGAGCAGGCGTGGGTATAACTGAACTGGGCCCCATGTCCCTGGAGGAGAACAAAGCCAAATCAGTGGCCCCAGGAACCTCCTGCCAGCCATGGGAATTGGAGTGAGTCAGTCTCGTGGTGGCTGGGAACAGGAGCAGAAGCATGGGGTTGGGACTTCAGCAGACAAATGAGGGGGGAGCATCTTTTAGGCAAGGAAGGGCTCAGAGTCAGGAGTACCTCAGAGATACATGAAACGTTTTTTAGGCATCTCTTCCCTTTTGGGCTGTGGCTAATACATTTTGAAGAAAGAAAGTCCAAAATCACATTTATTTCTGTGTGTGCTTCTGTATCTGAATTTTGTATGTTGTCCTTTTAAAAGAATAAATTCAGCATTTTCTACCAGTTGAAACTAAGCTCGCTTTATCTAGAAATTAAGATTAAGAGAAATATCAAGCCAGCAGACTGCTCCTACGAATGTGTGTGAGGAAGAGGGATTTCTAGTATTGGCACAGGCAGCTTTTCTCTCTGTTTTTTGCACTCTCTTTCCTTAGAAGGAGAAAAACATAATTGTGTTTATCTGTAGAATGCCCTTACACAATTTCTTAGGGGGATTCAACAAACTACTAATTTGAAGAGTTGATTTCACTGTCATTTTAACATTGTCCTTCTAAGAAAAAATATTTTATCGGAGGTACTAGTCAAAATACTTATATAAATTCAAAAAGTAAAGGAAAAACTTTACTTGCTTAAGTACTTAAAAATATAATCATTCTAAATTGCACTGTGTAGGAAAAAATTGTTGATATTGTGAATATTTTAAACAACAGAGCTATGTTTTGCTGTACATATATTTGTTTGGTCTTCAGTCCTAATACATGGAATGTAACACAGGGGACAGCTTAAACTGGATGTTTAGTGAAGGGAATTAGTTTAAAATCTATAAGGAAGAGTCATTGTAATTGGTAGATTTTTCCTTTCTGCTTTCTATATTTAACCTGCCAAAATAGTTAAAAAGAATATAAAATTTAAAGGACAATCACAATAACATAGAAATCATATTCTTCATAAAATCCTATTTTTTGCTGTCTGAGTTTCAGTTTTTGGAAGTATTTAAAATTTCTGTCGTGCTACTTCACAGATACTTGTCTGCTAACATATATGTTAGCTTGGGCTTTTTTAAAATAATTAAGTTTTGGAAAATGATATCTCCATAGTGTTACAAAAGGAGTTGCAGCAGTAACCCTTGCTATTTACTGTCTTGCATTTCTAATGTTTTTTCAATAGCATTTTTTTCTGAGGGCTTTTTTTCACTGCATGTAATAGTACTTTTAACAGCTTCTTCCTTTGATACCTTTAAACCTCATAGGAATTTAAATAGGCCCCTGTGAAAGTAATGCTTGAGCCTCATTCATATGTTCAAGTTAGATCATTATTCCTATTAATGGCTTTAAGTGCTTAGATAGTAGATCAGCCCTCAGTGTCTTGAATTGCTTGTCATTTCTGCATAAATATGTTTCAAGATACTGTTCCACATGATCTTTTCCTTTTTTTATTACTTATTCAGACGCAATACATAATTTTTTTTATTTATTAGGTGGAGGAGATGAAATTTCAGTGTTTTTACTAAGCTTTACTCAGTTACCAGAAATAAATTGCAAAACTAGCTAGCATCCAGTAAAGTTAATTTTTCAAAGAGCTGTCTCATGATTTAGAAATGTCCGTTTCTTTAACCATCTCTTACTCTTCCACCTTGTTGAAATGGTCATCAAGACATGTAAAGAAAAAAGTTATTTAATTCATGGGAGAAAAGTTACAGTGTTTGATTACTTGCATAGTAGTCACAGAAACATCAGTTATCCTCATCACGTCAGTTTGGATTTGATTATCATAGAAATGCATTGAATTACCGAACTAGAGCAATAGTAACTAAAGCTGATTCATTGTTATTGCTGTCAGTTGATAAGGACTGACTTACAAGCCATATGAATGGGTAGAGTTATGCAAATACTGTTTTCATAACCGGAGAAGAAAAACGTAGCGCGGCCATTACAATGTGGGTGGTAGGATAGATAAGGATTTTTTTAATGCTTGTCTAATAGCTTTTAGTTGTTTCATTTTTTAATGAACATTACAAACAGGTTATATTTTTTACATGTTTAATGTGTTTCCAAAGAAAGAAAATGAGACATTTCATACAAGATTAAGTCTGACTGCAGGAAATTATCTGGAAATTCCCACCCTTAAATTTGTCCCCAGAAATCATTCTGGCCTTTGATATCTACCACCTCTTTATATCTTTTTATCTCCTTTTGTGTACATGAAATACTTTGGTCTTTAAAACCCAACTCTTGTATCCTCCTCCAAAAATAAGGTTTCCAAAGGAGGGTTATCTGCAGTTATGTGGAAAATGAAAGGATAAGACTATGGATAACTCCAGTCTATAATGAAATCTGGAGGGCAAAAACACAACATGTGAAACTGAAACAGCTGAAGAATGACTCCATCAAAAATATGATGTACCTGTGAATGACTATTTTGGAAAGGTCGTTGCATATTTCATTAAAATTATATTTACTACTAGAAGGACTGAAGAAGGCAGATCAGACTATAAGGCAACAGCCGATGAATGAGTAAACCTTTAAAGCAAATACTTGGAAAGTATTTAGATCTGTTTTATACAATATATCTGATGATTTTGCGTAAATTTACCATTTTGTTTTCTCTTACACTAGAAATTATTTACTTTAAGCCATTTCTGTTCTAATTTATATAATTATATATATATATTCATACATAAACATATACATAAAGCGCCTTCCTTTACCTCACTGTTATTTTGATTTCGTCTGTATGCAAATTTTTTCGCTTAAAAATATTTACTTCCTCCTCCTAATAATGTCCTTCAGGATGCATGCATTCGATCAAGATACTTAATGTGTACACTGTGATCTACACTTAATTTTCACTGGATTATTAGGCATCATTTCAGAACCACTGAAGGCAGCACGCTTCAATGGAGTAGTTTCATTGTGGCAGAGACGGAGACTAAAAAGTTGCTTCTGTTTTCAATATTAATTATATACATTTTATTACAGAGTTCTTTATTCGGGGCCTCTGTTTTGACCAAGTTGAAATTTGGAGAGAAAAAGGGCTCTGTGTGCCATCTAGTGGCAGTGTTCAGGTTGTGTCCCTAAATTTAATTCTATGCTTAACCGAGATGCTGCTAGTGATGCATTCAGTTCAAAATGTTAGCTAGTTTCTCCTTACTATTACCGTTCTCTTTAAAAACATATCACTGTAGCTTGGAGGTGGTAAAATTCTATACCTGAGCGAAAAGAAGAAACCGGATCAGTATCTGCACTTGTCCAAGAATTATTGATTGAATTAAAATGTTACTGCTAAAGCCAACAGCCTCATCACTGTGTGGAAGAACGCTAATTTCTGTGAGCATGGAGTGGACTTACTGGTAACACTTGGTATTTTAAGACATCACTTTTATGAAGCTGTCATTACTGCCTTGAGAAACCAAGATCCTGAGAAAAGAAATTATCCTTTAAATTTCTAATCTTCATTAATGAGCATACTTCTTGTCTCTGTTTTAAGTCTCTCAGAAAATTCCAATAAGGTATTCTTTTTAATTTTATTTTTTTTAGAGAAATCCAAGGCCAGTGACTCACCAGTTCCAACAGAATTTAGATTATTACAAAGCTCGTGGAGCAGACTTGATGAACAAAACACGGTAAGCTATTTCTGAATAGCTTATTTCTGAATATGTGTTCACTGAACTAAGACCTTACATAAACAAAATGTTTCAGAAGTTACTTTTGTCCCAAACAAGAATTCCATAAGCAGTATTTGAAGGAGGTGTGTTTATTTCATTATTATTTTGAATCTTTACCTTTGCTATTATTACAGGAGAAATGAAATTTTTACAGATAGTGTTGCACACAGCTCGCTGGCATTTCTTTAAGGCTAAGGACATTCATATGCAATGACGTGTATACTAAAAGCAGGGGGTAAAATATTGCCAATGTGAATTCTGTAGCTCAGCTACTTCTGATAACGCATCTAATCTCAATCTGGAGTATCCATGTACCAGAAGCTGTGGAAGTTGAATTGAATTAATGTCAATCCAGTTTGAAGTCATTTTTACTAAACCTTTTTGCACCATTCCTCCCTTGATTTAGGAACAGTTTATATCAATACTGCTTAAATTCCTTGTCAAGGCCGTTTTGTCTGGCAGTCACAAGCATAGGGGTGCCTGTGCCCCAGCTAGGGGCCACATTTTGAGTGCCAGTTGCTGGCAGGTGGTGGCTGCTGGTGTCTGCGTGGCATGACGCAATGCCTTGCCTCAGTTTATACCATCACAGGCAATGTCTTGCATTGTACATGGCCCCAGCCATACACTGTGACTGCTGATTCATAGGAACTTGCTGGCTTTTAGACATTTTGCACCTCTGTCAAATTCTGTTTAAATCAGTTACATTGAAAGCTAGCTAAAATTAAAGTGGATTGGATTAAAAAGCTCTTAAAATGGAGAAAGAAGCAGAAATTAAAGATGAGTGAAGTCACTGCAAAAGCATCTTTTTTTTAAACCAGGCTTTACAGCTGGGAAAGGACATCAAAATTTACTGCATTCTATTGCATTTTCTTAATGTTTTTACTTATTTGTTCTTTTAAAAAATAGTCTCAAGGGTTGCCTAAGCTTAAAAAAGAAGTTATTTGAAACTTCCAAAAGAAACATTTCAAGGATTTTGAAAAAAAAATAATTATAAAGCCCAAACAAGAATGACACCTGTTGGAAACGTAAATTCCAAAAAAAATAAATGTCCATTAAATCTATGTAGGAATATAAATTCATTACACACATATACACAGGATGCACACAAAAGGAGAGGAGAAATTGTTTAGAATAGTTCAGATAGAGGAATAACTGGGGTAAATTTGCCTCAACACAGGAAAATTTAGAGTAGGTCAAATGTGGTAAGTCTCTTTAAGATTGGAGTAAAGAGAGAACTGAAAGATGTAACATTAGGAAATGTTTCTGCACTGAGCAGAGAAATGGATTAGATCGGCTACCAGGTCTTTTTCATCTTTAATTCCACAGGCTCAATGATATATTTAAAGTATGTCAGCAAATCTCTAATATAAGTTGCTTATTTTATCACATATAAACAGTTTTGATCCATCATATTCATATATTTGTCTCTCATCTCTCATAATGGCTACTTACTGAAGAGAGAAATGCCTCTGAATGAGGCTTGCTTAAAACAAAACATTTTCAGCTTAGCAAAAAACTGCAGAGATTGAATCATCTTCCTACTGCTAGTTTAAAAATATAGCATTCATAGTCAAGGTCAATGATGCTTATTGTGATGAAACAAAGTTGTTTGCTTCATAGATGGAATTCATGTCTCCTTGATACTAATTTTTAAACTGATGCCTTACTTTTAAATGCACCTGCTGATAACTCTACAACATAATCAATCAGCATTTTTCTTGTAATTGTTGTACATGTCTGGTACATTTAGACGGCTAAAATGTAGACATTGATCCATGTTTAATGGCTGTAATCATCCTTTGCATTAATATATCAGACATTTAAATAGTAAGAAATAGATACTTTGTTCTCATTTTCCTGAACTTCAGCTCAGTTTTAGCAAACCTCCTCCAGAGATCTAGCACCTTGCTATTGTTCCTTTTCTGAAGCTGTGATGCAGAGAAGTTGCACAATAACTTTTACTTCATAGCACTTTTATTAAGACCACCTCTTGACAAAAAGTTTAAATAGCATCATTATTTATTTTTCATGTGTGTGTACGTGTTCTGACATGATCGTTAGCAGTGATAGTACAAAGCAGAACCAAATGACACATAAGTATTAGGAGCTGTGATAACTATCCTTTCTAGTTCTCAAATAATTATAGAACATTATTGCCCGTTATTGCTGAAAGCAATTTTTAAAATCATATCTCGTACTTAACAGCTTAGAGAATTTTTGGTGTTTATTGTTCACTTCGTTGCTCAGGTAACCCATCAGAAAAAGAGATTCACTATCAGTAAATACCATTTTTTGTGCAAAGTCAAGGGCTTTTTTTACTCACTGTCAAGGCTCTAGACCTAGAGACAACACAAACCTAGGACTCAATGTGCAAGCCATTCTTTTCTTTCTAAGGTGATTTTCCAGGTGAGTGAGTGATACATACCACCCCAATCTTGGTGATTAGTTTCAGTAGACTGAGGGGAAAAAATACGCCAAAAATATTAAAGTTTGGATTCTAAATCTCTACTAACTAATTACTGGTGTGACCCCAGAAATCAGTGATGTAATTAGATATTCATTGCAAACTGTTTATAACTGATTGGTATCTACTAAGCCAGCATTTTGCATTTCTTCTTCCACCTTCAAAGCTACAATCTTTGTTTTCTTTCTGGAATGGAGAAGACATTAAACAAAAGGCCCTGTGCTGCCTTCTGATGCCATGTATACATGATGGAATAGAAATAGTCCCTTTTTTTTTCCTTTAGTGTCTCTGCAGTACTGGGACAACTGATTATTAACTGAATCTGCTAGGTAGTAGAAGAGTAAAATTTATTAGTAATAAACATTTTACTATGTCCTTTTCTTTAAAATCATTGGGACCTATTCAGTTTGCTTTTGAAACCATATGGGACTCCTGTTCTGTAGCTGCTTTCTTTGTAGTGACTTTGTCAGGCATTCTCAGGTGGCTACGGAAAGACATTTTGTAATCTCGGCACAAATCTAGTCAACAAAATGGGGAGGCACAGAAACATCCTATAATTGTTATTCAGCAATCTTTCCTTTCCAGTTTCCTTAAATTGGGAAGCAGCACTTTGTCCCAGTCTCTGTGCTGCTGTTCCTCCTAAAAAAATCTTATGTGCTGTCTCTCTTCATCACCAGTATATGGCAGAAGGGCCCCATACAGCTTGGGGCTATATCTTGTGAGTGTGCAAACTCACATACTTTCTTCTGCTTTCTCTCATTTTAAATGTATCTATTCTGAGTCTAAACAACTCAGCTGTTGTTATTTTCTGGATATGTTCTATATGTATGCACGCGTTTATATTGTGCATTCTAAAAAAAACCTATCTGGAGACAAATAGGGAAATGATATGAAAAGCAAAATCAAAATAACATTTCCAGGTGCCTGCACAAGTTACAAGTCACCCATATTAATTCATTTGTAGTTTATTTTTAGTTAAACTTCCCCAAAACATTGAAAAACTATTTTTTCTCCAATATAGTGATTGTATTGTTTTTAATAACATGGATTTCTTCGAATTTTTTAAAGACAGCTATTTATATCACTGAAGTACAGATCAGTACAATAAAACCGCAGGAGCGGAAAAGTCTCTGTGATTGTGATATATTTCTGTGAAGGGTATTTCAAGCATTAATTATATAAATCAAGAAAATATTGCGTGAACAAATAGAAATGGCTTTGCTGATCTCTGGGTTATGTGAACACTTCTACTGAGAATTAGAAGCTTCTTTGCCTCTCTGTTTTAGACAGATTAAATGGTTCAGCAACTTCCTCATTCTTAATGTTGCATATAACTGAAGTGAATTAAATAGCCACTGCACTTAAAAATAAAAAGTAACAATGATAACGATCATGATCTAGTGTATGTGTTATATCCTGAAGCCATTCTTCAGCCAAAATCACTTTAGAATCTGGATTCCTGTTAAAAAGTGCTTGGCTTGAAATGTGCTGGGCAGAAGGTGAAGTAAGAGCAAAAGACATCTAGCTCTGCCAACCTAAAACTACCAGTCTAGTGTTAGTTTTGCTTGTTGAAAGAAATGTTTGAGTTTGAGTTATTTTAAGCATTTAAGATATTTTAATCTATCTAAAGTAAATATTAAAGCAGTCTAAATAAGAAGTGTAAAAGTCAGTTTTAGAAAGTTTTCACTGCATTAGAAATTGGGTTGCTTTTTCTTTTTTTTTTCCTTTTATTTTCATTTAAAAAGGCAAATTAAGAAAACTGGTGCAAACTTGCTTTGTTTGGGGTTAGTCTGCATTTTTCTGGAAGAAAGGGCCGAAACAGTTTGCCTACTACTGGTTGGGAAAAACTCACACGCTCTTTGTAATGCTCAGATCTTGGATTTTTTTCCCCCGTTTGTGAAGGAGAATGCCTCCGTTGCTCTGTCTGTCCAAACCATTGGCAAAGATGCGATGATTTCTCCTCTTCTCTTTTTCAGCGCCAGTGCTAAGACTGCCCCACTGAACATTAACAAAGTCTCCAACAGCTTGCTGAATTTTGGCCGAAAGCTGATTGCTCCAGCTATGGCTTCAGGCGGGGCTGGGACGGCTCCTGCCAGCGGGAGCAGCTTTCCTCCCCCTGCAATGCCCATCAGAAGCGCAGTGGAAGCCCCCCAGCACCACCAGCAGCAGCACCAGCAGGCACAGCAGCAGAGGATGATGAAGTCTGAAAGCATGCCTGTTCAGCTGGGCAAAGGTAAAGGTGAACCCGCAACAGAGGGAAGCTTTTGTCACACACCTTAAAGGACTGAAGAAAGTCCTTTTGTTGATTTTGGGTACATATTTGGAGGAAGCAGCAAAACCAAAATTTTGTTAAGCAAGACATCCATGCTAAGTACAGCAGCATGTTCACAATGTAATACAGAATTAGATGTTATCTCAAGAATATACAAATACTGTAGGAAGGTTTGAGCCTTTTAGAAAATATTAACCAGAAATCACATCAGACATACCCACAAACTACATCAATACCATTCGCCAATGAAGTTTTCAGTCTTTTAAATGCAACATATTTTTAACTGTAAGACTAATTTCATACAGGTTTTTTCAGGTTATTGGCAGAAGTCCCATGCATAACAATATTAGCTAAATACGAGTGAAGGAAGTTAGATCAATTACAAAGTAATTCTTAAGAAATTAAATTTTATTCCCTTTAGAATGCGTGAAGCTTTCTTGAGAAGTTACTTGAACAGTAACATATATTTGCCTTTTAATCATTTGTGATGGCCCTCTGCACTTTCTCTGTTTAATAAATACCATTTCCTTTTCTTGAGCTTTTTCTATTTCTCAAGAACAGTTTGTTGTTTGAATAAAGTCACAAGCTCAGCCTCAGTAGTTGTTTCCTACACTCTGCCAGACTCAAGTTGTGTTACTACTTCACATCTTCAGACAGCCTTTGGCAGTATGTTCTTTGGACCATATAGAGTGATATGGTATCTGCTGCTTCTAGCAACTCATCCTCGGTAATGATTGTAAGTTTGAGGAATAGTGCTGGTTGCCCTAAACCATTATGTAGTATTGCATCATATTTTTCACCAGATTGAAAGTGTAAGAGAGGGGAAATCACACTTTGTAGCTGAAGTTGGTGTCCTGTCCAAGGTCAGTCCTTTCATGATGCGTCACGTCCCCAGCAGACACTGAGGGAGCAGAATTCAGAGGCACAACTGTTGTCTTGGAGCAAAGAGATGCAGGCAGTATGGTAAGAGCCACTAACGCTGCTTGGCAAAATCCAGACGCGCAGCTTCTCTCCAAATCCTAGAACAATCTCAGAAATTGCTCCAGCAAGGGTCTTACAGTCTCACAGCTCTGCAGACGTTAACTGAAACACAATGATCTCTCTGCTGGGCAATGGCCTCATTTGGTTTGTAGTTACTGTTACCATGTATAGTCCTGTTTGAATCCTTTATGCAAATATTGCTCACATCAATGACAGTAAAATTAGGTGTGAAACAAAATAATTTCCACAATTTTGGACAAGTTGTTTTGATTGCTTTTTAGAAAAAGATTTCCTTAGTTCCCTTATCACATGCCTGGTTTTTAACATTTTGGGTTGAAAAGTGGTCCTCAGATGGTTACTTTCTTTTCCCTACTTAATAGGAAAAAATTGTAAAATTTGAAGCAGCTTCTATAGGTGGAATCAAAGGTAGCTTAATCTTGATCTAGCTGGTCGAGGAAGACCCTGTTTACACTTGTATGTGCCAACTAACATGTTGCATCATCCAGAAATACACCTGACACTTTCCATACAAGAAACAATAAAAAATTGTTGTTAAGTTTGCCCCTTGTCATGTACAAACTGTGCACATATTTCTATATCTACAGGAATATGGAGATATGGTAAAGTTATCAAGAAATTAGGCAAATTTATGATGCAGGGCACAAAGCATTTCCATGGAAGGAGGAAATAAAACCTCACCCTATTCTGTCTATCCATATTTGGTACAACACATACAATAGTAATTTTAAGGCAACAAAACTTAAATATACATTTTTTTAATCTGTTGCGATGACAGTAAGTTTTGTTTTACATATTAGTGCCATGCTTTTTCTAGACCTGTACAGTTATCAGTGTATTCCCTGTAGTTGGATAGAAATTGTGAATTACAGCAGATAACTACATTTGCAAGTGCTGTAATGTTTTTAGAGAGAAGCCCAAATAGCAATGGAAATACGGAGTTTCTTAGAGGCTGCCCAGTGAATTATCTCTGAAATAAGTTTGCACGGAGGAGTAGCTTAATTAAGGAAAAAAAACCACCCCTATTTGCAATGATGTTGTGGCAGAGAAAGGTTAAAAAGAACCTTTTGAAGAGTGAAGCAGCTACCTTTATAAACAAGGCAGCACCATCTCCATTGTGCCTTAAAAGTGAGAATAATTTTTCAACTTCTGTGCAGGACAGTATCACCAACACAAGAAAGTGCTGTACAGCGTCTCCCGTGACTGAGGGCACTCTTTGCAGCTCTGAAAAGTTGCAGTACTTCTATACCAGGTGTTAAGATTTAAGATATATCCATGGATTCTGCGTGTTCTGTAATTATCAGGCTCTTAAGTTATTGACCAGCTCTCACTAATTGTCTTATGTTCCTGTACATCACTGTGTTTTCAGCTCCCCTCAGCCTCCTGGAGCTTGGTTATTTAGCTGAGATAGGCAGAGGCATGGATTTAGGATTTAAATTGATAGACATTTTTGCTTCCAGTTGATCTGACACTCACAGATGCTCAGTTGGACAGTGTAACAGACTGAAGTGCTGTAAATCTGGCAAGCATCAAATCAGCAAAGGAAGTTATCCATTTTTCTCATATCATATTAGTCCTTTCAGGTTTTGAATGCTCAAATAGTGCTGGTAATTTAAATTAATATGTAAAGGGTTATAAGTTTGAAGAAATTAAATTAAATGCCTACTCTTCTTTTTTATTAAGTGTGAAGAAGTCCTTGGTAACAAAAATATCTTGCAGAACTGGCAAAATAATCCAGCTTTAACAGCTCTGTTTAGGCAGTTACCAGTCATGAACGAGCAGCAGTGACA